CAGTTTAAACAAATCTGCCCCTTGCCTTTTTTTAGCATGTAAATTTTAGTGTTGCTCTAGGGGGAAGCCTGGAAGTGAAAGTTGTAAACCCGTCCTTTAGCTCTTGGTGAGGCAAGCCGGGGAAGTGCTCATGGTCGCTGCAACAGGCGCTCTGAGTGGGAAGGAATTCCTCCTTTCCCTCCCCTCTTCAGGTCGGCAGAACTTCTCCCGGGCCCGAAGTACTCTAGGCGCCCGCCCGGAGGTTGTGTCCCAGCTGCGCGCTGGCAGATCGCTGTTCCTCCGTAAGGAGAGGGTTCTGGTTTGGTTTATTTCTGGTTTTCACGTGCGCGCCCAGAGGCGCAGTGACAGCCTGCACCGGTCCAGGGATGCCCGAGGCCGGGTTTGGAAGCTTTCATTGCTGTATCAGGGTCGTCGGGTTCGAACTTAGTTAACTCAGCTGTCCTGACCTTGAAACCTAAACTAGGTGCATGTGTTCTGTGTTACTTTAAATACACAGCCTTGACTTCTGCCAGAGAGACAACCCGAAACCCCAGGCAGGGTTTGGGGGTTTGAAGCAGGAGGCCTGACTCGGCCGCGTCTCCTTTAACCCTTTCGAAGGGCAGATTACCCCTCTTTCCCTGGAGTCAAGGTTGTTGTCCCGGCCACAATCCCTGTCTCTGTCTGTCCCTGGGGATGCGCCTGCCTGTGGCCCCAGGAGCACTAGATCTGAAGTAGCTTCTTAGAAAACGCATTTGGAGGGAGTCTAGCTTCCACTGGCCACAAACTCTCCAGTAGAGCCGGCACTTCCCAGTAGAGCTCTGGACCCTAGGAAGCAGTGGCCCCAGCCGGAGTCTGGGCTGCTGGGCGGTGACAGACTGCAACAGCAAGCATCACGCAGGCAAGGTGGGGTGTTAGGGAGCATTTAGGGAGTCGACTCCTGCAGTGGAACTTCTTTGAAAATAATTTTAAAAGCACAGGGAATGTTTGTCTTCCCAAAGTTTGGGACCCCCCCCCCGAAAACCCACGGGAAATACTGAGCTTGCCCGTCCCGGCACGATCCTAGTGCTGAAGAGGAGAGGATCCCTTGGGGAAGTGCAGAAGGCTAGGGAATACGAGGCCACTTGCGCTTTTGCCGGTGCTCGCTGCACACCTGGAGAACTCACGGTCTGAACCAGCGTCAGGCAGAACTCTGGCAAAGAAGTTTCAAAGGGAAGAGACCCTGGGGAAGATTCCCACGCAGGCTGACCCGGCTACCACCTCTGAGCAATGGAGGCGCTCTGGTGTGTTCTGCTGGCCACTTGTTAACGTTTGTTTCCCTCCCCCCATCACCCCCCCACACACACACACACCAGGGCCTCCAAGGTGGGACAGATCCCCGCGCCGCCCTCCCGCCAGGGCGTGCCCAGTGCCCAGTTCAGCTTCTCAGGCCGCGGAACAAGGGCTGCTGCTGCCCCCTGGCGTCCGCTCTGAGCCCCGCGTGTCCCCGAAAGGCCTGCCCAGTGTTCCACGCTACCAGCTTTCACCCGCCTGGGGCAAGAGAAGCGGCCCTAAAGCCCTGACCAGGCCTCCGTGCCACGGCCTCTTCCTCCTCCGCTGAGCCCAGGCCGCGTGTATGCGTGAGAAGGACACACGCAGGAACCAGCCAGAGCACAGAATGGAAGTGAAGGGTTCGGTCAGATGGGGAGAGTAACGGGTTCCATGGACTGGGTGGTGAGAAGTCCCGGAGGAAGCCAGGCCCAGGAGAACTAAGGGACCCACGGAAGGCACAGGCCAGCTACACCGGACAGCAGTGGGCCGCTCACCGGCAGGACCAAGACCCTTAAAGCTCCGCGAAAATGCCCTCGGCGCCACGGGGACGGACATGGGCGGGGGGGGGAGGGGGAATGTGCCCTCACAGTGCGCAGGAGCGCAAGAGCAGTGGGCTCAGCGTCTGGAGGAAAGCTCCGACCTTCCCCGGGAGCTCGAGAGTGGATGAGGGCTCCGGCGATCGTGTTCCCCCCCCCCACCCGCGCCCCGATGCTTTCAACTTTCTTTGCAATCTAGGGTTCTTTGAGGCCTTGGTTAGAAAACTAACTCCTCTTTAGCCGCTGCGCACACTCAGAACTCGGCGCGCCGCGTAATCAAGCCGCAGCCCAGCCTCAGAGAAAAGACACTAAATAAAGCAGCAGCTCAACCAAGGAGAGGAAGCTTAAAACCCAAAACTCCTGCGGTGAAGCAGCGACCGATACTATTTAAATAACTTGGTGCCACTTCTCCTGAGCTGCTCGCCAAGCCTGGGGAGGCGCTCAGAGCCTCTCCCACCCGGCCACCAACTCTCCGGCCCTCTTGCGGCCGAATCCCACCCTGTCCTGCCGGGACTGGGAGGCTTGGCCCAAGGACTGCAGTGAACGACTGGCTGGGGACCGTTCTGGGACGCCCGCCCCGGTTCCCAGAGCCTCGCGATGGCAACTAGGAGTCCAGGGCTCGCAGGGCGTCTCCTTCCCGCTGGCCTTCAGGCCTCGGGCTTCTCCGGGCACGGCTTATGGTTCCCACGTCCGACCCGCGTTTTGATTCCTGTTTCAGGGTCTCCGGGACCTCGGCCGCCGGTTGCGCCACTGCGCCCTGCAAACCCACCCAGAGCGTGGCTGCCCCGTGCGTGGCTGCCGGGAGTGGGGTCTGCACCCGGGCCGGGCTTCGGACAAGCGTGGCAGCGTGTGCATGTGTGCGTGCGTGGGTCGGCGTGGGTGCCGGAGCAAGGGGCGGTAGGGGCTGCCACCAAGTCCGGGCCAGGGCTGCTTACAGTAGCGCGCGGGGGCGCGCGGGCCAATTCCAGGAGCGCGGCGGCGGGCCGCGCCCAGCCTGATACCGGAAAGGCCTGTGATTGGGCGCCGCTCGCCCCTATGCAAACGAGCTGAGGGAATGGAATTCCTCCGGCCAGCCTTACTGTAAAAGCACGTTCATTTCCAGGCACTCTCATTCATAGAGCCAGCGGGCGCGGGCGGGCAGGACGGGCGCCCCGCGGCCGGACCCAGCC